GCAGGGTTTAAATTACAGGCACAGCTTCCAGGGCTATTTCACCCTCCTCCTGGCCACAGTCAACCTGTTAAGAACAGTAGCAGGGTTACATTGCACTCTGCTTAGGGGTGTCTGAGCTGCACAATCATTGTGGGTTATTTCTCAGTCACTATACAATACACACTCCTCTGCCAATTGGCTGCCTGCCAGTTTTAGACCGAGTGCTGGGATCTGCATAATCACCAGTTATTCCTTGATAACTGTATTGTAAACATGCAGACCTCTATTCTAATTGAGTAAGAAGCCAATTGCCAAAGAGGATTCATAGTAATCAGAGTTTTCTCATTGTTTGTCAGCAACAAAAACGCCACCTTGGCTTCTCACTCTCATAAAGAGAAGCAGGAAAAGTCCAACACTAACGCGAAGGGCAGGTGGTGGGGAGGGGTAATATAGGATGAAGAATAAGCCAAGTTTCCACATGACTTAAAAGGAAAGTGACCCTTTTTGCACCAGCACTTGTCTTTCAGTTGGAAGGATTTCAACCCATCTCCAACAATTCAGTTTTGAAAACTGAAGACAAGAGGTTTGTGGACCATTAGGGAGGATCAGACATCAGTGAAAAAGGAGATGGCAGAGGGAGCAGGAAAAATGTGAAGAGAGTGAGGAGGAGCAGTTTGTATTACTTCCCTTCACTTGTGTTTACCTTTTCAAACCAAGAATTTCAATATTGAAACAACTTCAGAACAACTCTAATTTATTGGCAACTAATCATTCCCTAGGCTAGCAAACACCAAAGCTTAAAACCAAAAAGGAGTTTATTTACTATAAACTCAGCAACTGCAAGCCAAGCTGATTATTTCCAGGGCCAGACTAAGGCATGGGTGAACTGAGCAGCTGCCCAGGGCGCCAACCGATGGGGGGCGCCTGATGGCAGCTGTAAGCGGCGCGCGGTGTCTCTTACAGCTGCCATCAGGCGCCGCATGCCCGGCTCCCGCAGCTCCGGCCCTGCAGTGCCAGCCAGCAGCGCCCTTCCCCCCACAGCCGCGAGGCCCGGCACGCGCCAGCAGCTCAAGCCGGACTGGACTGGGCAGCGCATGCACCGTGCACCCCGGGGGTGGCCCCTGAGCTGCGTGCCAGTGGCCATGGCTGGCCCGCGCATGCGCCGTGCACCCGAGGGCGGCGCCACGTGCCCAAGCCCAGGGTGCCAAAAGGGCTCGTGCCAGCCCTGATTATTTTCTTAGGATGTGTCTAGACTACAGGCTTTTTTTGCAAAAAAAAAAAAAAAACTTCCCCTGCATCTAGACTGCTGCTGTGTTCTTTCGAAAGTAAATCGAAAGAACGCAGCAGTTTTTTCGACCGCGGAAAACTTCGTTTTATGAGGAAGAACTCCTTTTTTCGGAAGTTCTCTTTCGAAAAAAGGTGCTATGTAATGCAAACTGTGCTTTTTCAAAAGAGAGCATCCAGACTGCCTGGGTGCTCTCTATTGAAAAAGCGGATTGCTTTTTCAAAAGTACTGGTTGTAGTCTAGACGCTCTTTTTTGAAAGAGGCTTTTTCAAAAAAGCCTCTTTGGAAAAAGTCTCTTTCGAAAGAGGCTTGCAGTCTAGACGTAGCCTTAGATACTAGGACAGTAGAAGAGAGATATATCAGCCGTGTATATCTTTATTAACTCAAACATAGATAGCACCCTTACTATTAACTCAAACATAGATAGCACTCCGGTATCAACAACTGGATTAGAACTACGGATTAGAACTCATTGTTTGCATAACTAGCGTAGCCAGGTTAGTGCCACTCACTCAGCATCCTCATTCATACTGTAGACTTCCTGGTGGCCTCTGTCCTGCATTACACCCAAACCCATTTTGGCAAGGGGCAAGCATTGACAAGACAATATCATTCAAAGGGACAGGAGGCCACTGTTAGGAAGAGGCAGTAATTAGAGCACAGTAATAATTTTAACAACATTAAAATGAGCAGAAGCCTCGTATCCCTCCATGACCCTCGTGAATACAATTCATAACCTCAGCCGATGAAAATTATGATATCATTGCATGAATTAATCGTCTCAGCAATTAACAGGGAGTGCGATCTCTGAGTTAGAAGCATGGTTTCTGCCACCAGTGAATTGCCAATGACGTTAGCTTCCCTGGGAATAATCTGGCATTTTGCCCACCTCTGAACCACACTGCTGGCACCCAGGCAGAAGCAAACAATGTATTCACCCAACCAGGGATAAATGCTGCAACCGAATCCCAGTCTACAATTGCTGTAGTGTCATCAAGAATGCTTCCCCTCATCCCCCTCACTGAATTCCCTATGAGCATCTCTCGAGGAGCAGTAGGCAACTGTCCAGCAGCAAGAGGCAGAGAGCCTCCTTTTAAACACCAGCATGAGCTGCTTAGGTAGGGCATCCTTTTTTAAACTGTGAGCTCTCTTTGCATGAAGGCTCTGATAGTCTCATTAAAGATATAGGAGACTTAATTATTCTTATTTGGTCTGGAGTAGTGGCATCTCTGGAGCCCAAGTTGAAGTGGGTTTTATTTAGGGATGGACAAACTTGTTTTGCTTCATTCTCAGCTCACTTGGCTGTTGTGGGTGTTTTGAAAGTTAAACTCAAACTCTGATACTGTTCTCAGGAGGGATCTGTATCAGCAAACACAACAAAGAGACCTGTAGCATCTTAAAGACTAACAGGTTTATTTGGGCATAAGCTTTTGTGAGTAAAAAACATTTCATCAGATGCACTGAAGATGCCAATGTCTCTGACTAAGTGATTTATACCCACAACAGCTTATGCCCAAATAAATCTGTTAGGGCATGTCTACACTACCACCCTAGTTCGAACTAGGGTGGTAGTGTAGACATACCCTTAGCCTTTAAGGTGCCTCAGAATTCCTCGTTGTTTCTGATACTATTATGGTTTTGTTCCACTTAAGGTCCCAAAAACGTAGCGCTGTACATATGAAAGAGAACAGCCAGTTACAAAAGTACACCATACAATAGACATCCACTTGAGTCAGCTTAGCTCATTCAGATGAAGTGAAGACAGCATTATTCAGTCCTTACTAGGGGCTACAGCTTACTATCTTCAGCACTTTCTTTGCTGGCGCTCTGTCACTGAATACAAGCACTATACATAGTGCAAGAGGTCTGATTCACCACTGTCCCATCTAACGTTAAGTCATTTACACCTGTGCAAAGTAGTTGCTCTTAGATCAACATGGTAGTGATTTTACAGACACTTTGGTTCTCAGGGTGCAGTGGTATAAATGCAGCAAGGCAGTAGAGAATCATACTCAATATTATCCTCCCAATATCAGCTCTCAACAGAGACATCTAGAACAGCCATATTACAAAAATGATGTACAAATAAGCTGGGGAAAGGGTGCATTATGGATGGAATATCGGCCATGTTGGGACCTCCCCCATCTCCTGGCCTCGAGAGGAAGCCAGAAGAGGCGGAGATATCTGGGAGTGGTGGTGAGTGAACTAAACTTATAAAAGGTTTGGTGTCAAGGAGTCAGGTCAGTTTTTACTTCAGTTGAACCAGTGTGAGAAATCTGGGTTCTAAGGCAGTAAATCCACACACTTCTTTCATGCCTGTCTGCCTCCTCTCTTTGTAGGGAGACTTGATGATGCTCAGTGTGAATGATGCTCTCTGGACAGAGATTCTGTTTTCTCTGGAACTTACTGGAAGAGTCTATAAAGGTCTAACTGATGCAAAACATGATCAGTGGGTTACACTGTTCCATTTGGCCTGCAATTTTGGAGAGAGCATGGAAGGAAAAATGTTTTCCTCTTGGAGACCCATATCAGAGAAGGAAAGTTGGGGGGGGGGGATAAAAACAGGATGAGGGAATAAGCCCTTGAGTGCCATATATTGAGATATAGACCAACTCATTAAAAGAAACGGATTTAGGCTTTAGACAGTGGGACAACCCTCTGCTAACTAGCTGAAAGGATGTTATCTGTTTAAAATGCCAATTTTGAATTTGTGAGTCATCACCACAAACACCACTCTGTGCCTTAGTGCTACATTGCCTAGTGACAGTCATCCTAACGAAACACATTCTTGACAGAACTATCACAACCTGATTTAGATCATCTTCTGTTAATAGGGGAAACGAGAAGGTACATAAAAAGTGATGTCGATGCCAATCTACTGTGTTAATTTGCATCCTCCTTCTATTCCAGATAATGTGAATTTGTGGGTTCCAGTTCAACATCTCCCCATCTGAGAGCTGCCCACCCACATCTCATGTAATTAGAAGAGGGAATTAAAGTCTGTGGATGTACATCGGTAGACAGTTATTTAGGGGACAGATTTATGACAAGGTCTAGAAAGTATAAGCTGATTAATCAACCATTTAGGCTAGTCTGATTGCTCTTCTCTCCCACTCCGTAGATATAGGCAGATCAGCAGCAGATAGAAATAACTGCCTTTCCTAGTCATTCACACTTTCTCTCCCACGTTAGAGCATCCAGGTACAGACCACTCGCCGTTTATCTCCACCTGCTGTGACCAGTGCGCTAGTTTGCCTTCTCTTCTCTCATTCCCACATCTCATCACATGTTTCATAGATTATTATACACCAGTTTTTACATCCCTGCTTCATTTCATTTTAGATATCTGACTGGCAACCTGTGCAGTCCCATGTTCCTCAAATCAGCTTTCTGAACATCTAGGTTTAATCTAGCTGTCTTTAGCTCATCAGACATTACCTTTTCTTACTGCATTAATAATATGCACATTTTCTAGATCACTGCTGCATTCCTAGACAACACAACCCTCTCCAAATACATGCATATAGACATTGTGTGTATGTATACATTTTATAAGTATGTAATGTGTATATATAGACAAAGACAACCACTACATATCTTGTGTGAGTATGTGCACACAATCCCTTCCTCCCTCAGACTCCCCAGGAAAATAATCCACATAGGTTATATATTTTTTTAAATGTCACAGACAGGCTCTGCATTATACTGATGAATCCCATTCTGCTCACTTTCTTACCTTTCCTTAGTCTGCTAATCCAGAGGCCCTTGACTCGTTCTCTTCCCCGCCTGCACACAAACTGCAAGTCCCTTCCTCTGCTTCGTATTCACAGCACACTGGTAGGATTCATCGTCATCCCACAGTCCTGGATCCTTATCACCCTATTGGCTGAAGCCAGCTAGTAAATTTAATTAGGCTCCTCCTTATATCTATATTATCACAGGAGAAGGATGAATAATTTAGTAAAACAAGTGATGTGCTGGCTCGGATGTCAGAGATTTCTGTCTCTGCTGGCAGGCTTTTCCCTAATGCCTCTCACTGAGAAAGGGGAGGGCAACTCCCCAGATTGTGTTACTGTTTTAGTCAAAAGCCTTCAGTTTACACAGAGGAAAGGGAACCATGGATTCTCTGCTTGTAAACCCCCCTCCCACACTTCCCCACAAATTTCTTCTGGTGCAACCATCCATAACCCAAAACAGAATATTCCCCACCAGATTGGTGGTGGTATTGCACTGCATGGTGAGAAGTAAAGCACTGAAGGTGATTTCTGTCCTGCTAAATCAATATAGCAAAATATCAAATGCCTCCCATCTTTCTTTGATATCAATATGTTATGAAAAATAGAAATGTTCTGTGGGCAGGACAGAACACAGGGCAATAGAGACACTGTTTCACACTCGGAGCGCTTTTCTATTCAAACAGTCGCACTCTGACATCCTGTCGTGCAGTGAAGGGCTGGGTTCTCATGATATTTATTTACACCTATGGCGGCAGACAAGACAGTTCAGAAAAGTCAGTGTCTGCACAAAAGTCAGCCCTCTAAGAAACAGACACAGAAACAAAGGAAAAGGCAGGATTTGCAGCTCATACAAGTGACATCCGGACAGTACTGAGGTGGGAGCTGAACTTCCGGTTAATAAATGTGTAAAATTGGGAATTCTCATTATTTGACCCCAGATGGGAAAATGCCTGTGATGAAATAGCAGCTTTCTCCCTGCAAAAACAATCATTTCATTTTCTCCAGTGTTGCAGGACAAGAAGTTAAGATATTTCTCTCTTTCTTTCCTGAAACTCCACCCCCAAACTCACACAAGAAAGCAGTTTGGGGATGACTGAGCTTTGTCTCTTGGCCTCTGTGAATGGCAAGGCTGCAGTGGCAAAACTATGGAGCAATGCAACCTCCCCGAAATGGAAGCAGCCAGCTTGCTGCAACCTCAAGCCCCACTCATTTGGAAAACTGCACATGGCAGGACCTGCACGTTGTTGAGCAGTGGAAGCCCCCTCTCCATATTATTAGTCCCTCTGGGTTCTTCCTCCATAAGTGATCACAGCAACACAGGGGCAATTTTTTGGGGAAAAAAAACAACAAAACAATTCACCACCATTACACTACACTGTAGGTCCTGCATATAAACAGTAAGTACCATAGTGCTCTGATTAGCTTAAAAAACCAACAGGTGAAATAAGGATGTTCACTAACCACAGGCCCCAGAAATGCTCCTCCTGACTCTGCCCACCCAATAGGCATTAATATTTACTCCACAGAGCAGTGGTACTGGAACTAGAGGCACTGGGGGTTGCCAGCACCCCGTTCCAATGGATGTTTCCCAGAAACTGTCTCTCTCTCTCACCCAGTGGCCCTCACCATTGTCTCTTTCCTTCCTGCGGGGAGGAAGGGTAGACGAGGTCACTGAGTGACATAAGGTATTTGCCACTATCCATGGGCTGAGTATGTTACTTACGCAGCAATCCCTGCTCCTAAGGCTATGTCTAGATTGCAGGCTTTGTGTGCAAGAAGCTTTTTTTGGAAGAGATCTTCCTAAAAAACTTCTTATGAAAGAGCACGTCCACACACAAAAGCGCATTGAAAAAGCAATGCACTTTTGCAAGAGAGCGTCCAGACTCGTTAGATGCTCTCCCACATAAAAGGCCATCCAGAACCATTTCAGGCAGGGCTTCAGGTCACCAGTTGCTTCCGAGTGCTGGTGCCGGAGCCTTGCAGAGACACGTACTTAAAGGGACCCCCCCTGGGCAGCCATTTCTCTGTTTCTGCTGCCTGCTTGCTACCTCTTCAAGGGACAGCAAAGCTTTCGCAGTGCCTGCTGTGGTTGCCCTCTTCTTTTGTGGATGCCACAGCTTTTTGCTTTCAGCCGGGGAGCCAGAGCTGCCCCTGGGCATGCGATGCCCCCACACGGCCAAGCTGCAATTTTTGCAGCACTTTCTGCCAGCTGCCTTCCTAGTCCTGCATGACCAGGACCCCAACCTCATTCTGGGGACCCTCTCTGTGGCTGCGGCTACTCCATGCTGGCAATCGCACCCCACTGCAAAGAGGCGTTTCTAGAGGCTGAACACCAGTTCGGACTGGTGGGACCGGCTGGTCATGGAGTGATGGGACGACCAGCAGTGGCTCTAAAACTTCCTCATGCGGAAGGCCACCTTTTTGGAGCTTTGTGCCTGGCTCTCCCCCGCACTCTGGAGACGTGACACCCACCTGCAGCCCAGCATCCCCCTGGAGAAGCAGGTCGCAATTGCCCTCTGGAAGCTCGCCACCTCCGACAGCTACCGGGGCTTGTGCCATCCTGCCCTCACACAGCCCTGCTGCTGGGGGCGGGGAGGGTGGCCTCATGGGAGGTGGCTCCTAGAGTGTTGGAAGAGGCAGGGAAGAAGAGCAGGGCAGGCACCTCCCAAGGGCTCAGGCATCCTCCTCTCGCTCTCTGTTTTGTGTGGTTCTTTGTCTCCTCCTGCAGGTTGTGAAGGACATCAACTCTATCCTGCTGCAGAGGGTCATCCATCTGGGAGACATGGACATGACCATGACAAGATTTGCTGACCTGGGGTTCCCAAACTGCGGGGGAGCGATCGATGGGACCCACATCCCGATCCATGCACTGGACCATCGAGCAGTCCAGTACATCAATCGAAAGGGCTACTTCTCCATGGTGCTGCAGGCCCTGGTCGACCACTGGGGACACTTTACATACATTTTTGTCAGGTGGTTGGGCAGGGCACACGATGCCTGAATGTTCAGGAACTCTAGCCTGTACAGGAAGCTGGAGGGGGGCATAGTCTTCCCACACTATAACTTTGAAGTTGGGGATGTGCAGATGCTATTGTGCATCATGGGGGACAAGGCCTACCCCCTCATGCCATGGTTCATGAAGCCTTATACCAGCCACCTGGATCCCAGAAGGGTCCAATTCAATGCCAACCTGAACTGTGCCCAGATCCAGGTGGAGTAACTTTTGGCCACATCAAGGCACATTTCTGCTGCCTCCTGACCTGCCTCGAGGTGGGGGAGCATAACATCCCCGAGGTGGTGGCAGCATGTTGTGTCCTCCACAACATTGTGGAGAGGAAGGGGAAGTAAATGACAGGTTACTTGAGTAACATTCTCAAAAAAATTAGAGAACATTTTAGAATTTGTACCAGACAGCTTTGTGGATTGTTTCTCTCCTCTATTACAAGATGAGGAGTGTAGTCTAGTGTCTCTGTCTGGCAATATTGAATCTTCTCACTGAGTGTATGATCCCATTATTGCACTGACACTCCTATATGGTGTCCCAATAAATCTATAATAGAGGGGGGTGGACAGGACGGGAGGCTGGAGTTGGGTCAGGGTTGGCCGGGGGTAGGGAGAGGAACCACAGACATCACTTGGGGAGGGGGTATGGGCATTGCTAGGGAAGGGAGCAGAGGCATAGCATGGGGGGCAGGTGCACAGGGAATGGGCATAGTGGGGGGACAGAAGGATGGATGCCAGGAGCAGCGGCATCAGGCAGGTGTACCATCATGCAAGACATGACGGCAAACATGTTGTCACACCGCTGCATTAACTGGTCCCAGGCACGCTTCTGCCTCTCCAAGGCGGTGTGGACCTTGTGCACCAGGGTCTGGTGGATGTCACGAAGGACACTGATATGGTGGCACATTAGGTTCTTGTGCACCCCAGTGTGTTTTCAGATCCCCTGTGTTCTGGCGGGCAGCTGTGGTGCTGTGGCTCAGCCCTCAGTCCCGGCTGAGCTGGCTGTGGAGAACACACAAGAGGGAGCGGCGGTCAGTCATCCCCGCAGCCACTGTCCCCGAGGCCGTGCCCTCCATTGTGAGTAGCGAACAACCGTCTGCAGCCCAGAAGAGGGGGATGTCCCAGGTGCAAGGCCATGTGGGGCCTACACAGTAGGCCCTGTCTCACAGGGGCCCCGATGTGCCCACAGGACCATGCTGTCCACTTCCCCCCCCCAGGCCTCCCAGGGATCCGCACACATAGATGTGGCTCCCTGGGCTGTCTGTGGGAACGGCTGCTGCCTCACATGTAAAGGCATGCCCATGTGCTGTGTGCGGCACTCCTTGGTCTGTGTGGTGTCGTGCCTGCGCTCTTGTGGCTAGCCTGCTTCCAGTTGGGGCGGCCCCCTCTCTTGTGGCAGGAGGTATGTGGCCTCCCCTGAGCCTGGCTGCAGGATCCCACCCATGCTCAGGGGCTGCCTGCTGCATCCGCATGCTGCACAGTAACGCAGCACGTGGTTGCACGTGCATGGACCGCAGAACGATGTCCAGCCAGAGTGACATTCACCCCCTGTCTCCTGTGCACTCGCCTCCCCCACCCTGTGTGTGTGAAAGTGAGACCACTCACCTGAAGAGCCCTCCCAGGCATCCAAAAAGGCCTGGGAGACGTCCTGGTTCCTCGCACCGGCTCCAGGGAGAAAGTCACAGTGCTCATCTCCTCCTCCTCCTTCTCCTGTGCCGTGGCTAGCTGGCCCTGGCCCTCCTGGTCCTCCTCCACAGAGACCTCAGGCTGGCCATTTCCCTTCCCCCCCAGGATTTCTAGGAGCTCCTTATAGTAGGAGCAGGTGTTGGGTCCTGCCCCAGAGCACGAGCTGTGCTCTCCGGCCTGGACATGTCCCTGGCGGAGCTCCTTCACCTTACTCCAGACTTGTTCCAAGGTCTGGGCTGAGTGTTCGCGCTCTGCCAAGGACTCGGCCATCTGGCCATAAATGTCCACATTCTGGCACTTGGCCTGGGGATCCTGTAAGGTCTCCCCCTCACCCCACAGTTCTCTCCAGGCCAGATCAGGATGGGGCACACCTCTTCGTTCCCCGGAGTGGGTCTTGGGACTCCTGGGGCTGCTCCCTGCGAGGGACA